GGAACCGTGCCGTCAGCCCCCGCGGGGAGAGTTTGTCAGTTCTTGTAAGGCGCTGTGAAATCCCAGGCATGTGAGTTTTTGTCACTTGCAGGAATTTTATTCCTGCCCTTGTGAGCCACGTTTGGGGAATTCCACACAGTTTTCGGTCGGCTGGCCTCCTGCTGCCAGCAGAAGAGCTACAAGTGGACGTGGGCATCCAGCCCTTAGCAGGCTGCAGTAAGCCACTGGAGACGGGTCCCTGCGTGTGACCGGGGAGGGCAAGAGGAGTGCGCAGGGCTGGAAAGCTTCGCGTTGCTTCCCGGGGGCTGCTCTTTTGTCACTGCGAAGAGTTCAGTGTTCCAGGCTGTTTTTCATCTTTGTGTCTGCAGAATTCGCAGTACTTTGTTGCTGTCCTTTTTTCTGCAGAGGGCTTGGCTTAGCTGCTCTTCTGGCCCTCAGTTTCTCTCATGTCATATGCAGCCCATTGCCACGCAGGGATGTGACTATGGCTCTTTGTATCTGGGGAGAAAATGGCTCCATCTCCATGGTCTGAGACCCTGCAGCCCTCCTCGCAGCCCATGTGTTACCAGTGAATGGATGGCAGCCTGCGGCGTGGGCAGGGAGGAGGAGGAAGGCTGCAAAGGCAGCAGAGGAGGCTGTGGGCTTGCGCTGCCCAGAAGAAAGGCATGAAGATGCACCACCAACTCCCTGACAGGGTTGCCCAGCTTACTGTTTACAGTCTGTGGTGGATGAAATTCTGTTGCAAACTGGAAACATGGAAATGCAGAAGTAGCAGAATTTCCCAAGTCATTTTAATGGAAATTTTAAATAGGGTAATTTTGGGTTTAATGAGAACTGAGAAACAGGGAAATCCCTTTGGGGAAGAAAAGGAATTTCTGAGTTTTCTAGTCTTGGTTTGACACAAAACATTCAGGGTAATGCCCTAGTAGGTCCCTAGGAAGCAGGAGTAAGATACCCAGCCCTAAAGTATCACATAGCTATTAAGAATGTACCAGCAGTGAGAGTGCAGCTAAACAATCAGCTTGTATTCACGTCTGTGAGCACTTCTTCAACCTCCATACGTGGTTGGAGTTACCGCCTGCTGGCCATTTCGTAGGCAACGGCTGCCTTTATTACACACTTCTAACAGCATTGATAGCACGGGGCCAGTGGCTCCTGCCTGATTTGCATCAGGGAAGGCTCTCGGGGGCTGCAGCAGCCTCACCTGCTGATGCAAACTCTCTCGTCTGGCGAGTGGAGATGCCTGTTGTGGTGGCTGCCCAGTTTGCTCTGGTTTAGATGGTAGAGCTCACGTCTGCAGTGAGGAGAGCACAGGAAAACTGTCCTTTCAGACAGGTCCCACTGTTGATCCTAATTCTGACTGTGATTTTGGGTCTGCTGTTCTGCGAGGGTGTTCTCGGGGCAGGTCAGTGTTAGCAGGTCGCACAAGGCAGCAGGAGCTGTCTGTAGAGAGGAGGAGCTGCTGGTGGAGATGGAGCTCCCGAGCCTTCCTGTGCATTGGGGGGTCACTTATGAGTAGCTTTTTTGGGAGTGCCTTAGGTGAGCTGGAGCTTGGTTTTGGTCTAGTTTAGTCCCATGGGGTTCCCATTCACACCCTGGGAGGCTGCAAGAAGGCTCCGTCTCCTAAGCTGGAGCATGGTTCCCAGTGACCCCGAGGTGGCCCCGTGCCCTGGGAGTCCTGCCCAGCCCCAGCAGCTCTTCCCGGGCTCAGGGTGCCCTCCAGCCCCGGCCCCCTCTGC